CGGAACTTCTGAGTTCTTCTCCGTTTACAACCTTCACCCCAAACTGCTTTATATTCGTCACTGGCGTCTTCAATCCTTTGGACAACTCCTTGTCTATGAAATTTAGTGTTGAACCGCTGTCCACTAGCACTTCAAGCTCTTCGCCTAGTACGATTGCTGTGAACCGTATCATCTTTGGACCTCTCTCCACATCCCTCTTCTTGCTCTTAATCACATGTAGCAAGGTCTCCTTTCTCTCGGTGTGTTCGTACTCCTCTCGATTTGGCTCATCTTCATCAAACTCAAGCAAGAACACTTGCTTTCTCGCACACCTATGTCCCGGCGTGAATTTTTCGTTGCACGTAAAGCATAAGCCTTTCTCGCGCCTTCGTTGGATCTTCTCAATCGTAAGTCATCGCATGTGGCTCGTGGTTTGCACGCCATCATCGGTCAACTTGGTCTCGGCTCGTGGGGGCGTATCGTCAGATGTCGCGGTTGTGCGCCGTGGGTCCGTGCGGCCTTCGCCCTTGCTGGCCTTGCGCATCGTGATCAAGTGGTCATCGTGTAGGCGTGCCGACTCCATTGCCGCTCACATTGTCCGCGGCCTGTCCAACCGCACTTCAGCTGCTAGCTCGGCTTTATGTCCTCCAATGAATGTGCTACCAATGCGCTCTCGGGCCAATCTCGCACCCGACTTGCAATGCACTCAAAATCCTTTTGGTAGTCTTGGAGGCTACCATTCTGACGAATTCGGGAGAGTGCCTCGTCATAGTCGTAGTAGTCACTCGTGCCAAAACGCGTGACCAACTCCTTCTCGAAATCTCTCCATCGAATGTGCTCGCCTTTGCTCTTGTACACATGTGTCACCCATTGCCACTATGTATTTGCTTCACCATCGAGATAATAAGCGGCGATCTTGACTCTCTCCGGGTCGGTCCCCGTGAACGTAGGCATAGTGAGCTTCGGTCATGCATAGGCTCGGTCGTCGTGGTGGTACGTTGCGCGTGATGCGCGGGTCCTCCGTGATCGTCCGTCATCGTCGTCGTGGTCGATCCCGGGGCTGCTTGATGCCGCGGTCGATCACGATGTGTGGCTCCGTCGCGGTCGACGTGTCATGCGCGTGAGTTGCCCGACGAGATCGTGCACCATGAGCTCGAGTTTGGCAAAATTCTCATTGACAAGGTGTTGGCCATTGCCGATGGATTTCAAACTCTCCTCCAAGGCCTCAATCCTCTCCTTATGTGTCATCATCACTCGACTCTCTTATTTTTTTTTTTTTTGATACTCACGAAAAAATTCGAAAGAAAAGAAAATAGAATGGGGAAGAAAAAGTTCAACCCAACACACGATCAATCACTCTCAATGAAAGCACCAATGATGAAGGATCGTGTGTTACGTCTAGCTCAATTCGCTCGAAACCCGCACCGACGCCTTGGTCCCTTTGCGATAGGTTGATAATACGCGCACCGATGCCTTCGTACTGTTGGGTTCGATAGTACCGTACGGGCTGTACGCAGCGGAATTTAAAATTTTTAAAGTAAGTATTTATCGTATAAATACAACACCCGTACATACTAATTGCGAATTAACTGATCGTCATCTTTAAAACATGCATCATATACAAATTTTAATTTGTTACTATAAAGTAAATACTAGTAAAATATTTACCGAATGTCTTGAACTCCTTCACTATTGATGATGGATGAGGGAATCGGTTCCCGGTTGTAACTTCAACGACTTGAGGTTACTCGCTAGAGGAATCCAAGTGTCTTTCCTCTAAACGTATCCACCCTATGAAGCCCGGTTCCGACGACTTTCCTTCGCTAGTAGAAAAGACTCGATTTTCTTGTATAGGAATATTTATGAATTTTATTTGAGAATTTTAAGAACTCTTTCTTGAAGTTTTATGAAGAACACTTTCTTCTCTTTCTAACACTTAGAAATTTTGGATCAAAACCTCACTTAAATGCAAAACCATTTTGCACATATTTATACTAAACATTTTAGCATAAAATAATCAACATTTAGTAATATTTAAATAAAATCAAATTTTATTTAAATGGTATTTACTAACTTTTGACTTTGAAAATAATAAGATATGTTAAGTAGTTCAAACAACCATCAACAACCATTTTATTATACTCATATTTATTATTTTAATCCTTAAATCATATTTAAAGATATAAATAATAATTGGATAATAAATCTTGAGAATCTTTCTCAAGACTTTATTATTATATCATTTTCCCAATATTATTATTATTTTGGATTTTTGAAATTTAAAATCCTATTTTAAAATTCAACTTTATTAATTTAGTAATTACCTTAATTACTAAAGTAATATCCAAAATGTAATTAATCAATCTTATTGATTAATATATTCCTTTAATTGATATCTAATCAAATTAGATATTTATCAATTAATTCTAACCATTAGAAATACAATCTTTACCTTTGTTCATAATTAGTGTGACCTTTTAGGTTCACCTTAATACTAGTAGTGGGTTTACAACACTTTGTAATTTGAGTTAAATCTTATTAACTCTTATTCATGAATTAACCCTTTAATTTATGAACCCACATATCATGGTAACACCTAGCAAGTAGCATGAATCTAGTATTAAGTGAATAGCGAGTAAACCTATTCCGATTACAACTCCATACATGTAAAATCCTTTCGACATCTAATTTCCCGATTAAGTCTTGGGTATGATTTTGTCGAAACCCAAATTGACTTAATAACTATGATTCTATTTCATGTTTATTAACCCGGTTATGAATCACTATTCATCTCTGCCTTGGCCAAGGACTTTGGATTAATAACTATGAAACACATAGGAAATTCACTTATCTTCATAAGTGTCGAATCCTTTATTGGCCACTAACAAACTTCCATACATATTAACATAATACCCAACTTATCCCTTTAAACGATAGTGCTAGCTACCAAAAGGATAAATCAAAGTAGAATGTAATATGCACAAAGTTACCATTGTGCCTCAAGTCTTAGGATTAGTCATGTACTATTGTAACATGAAAATTCTTATTCGACTGAATAAATTCTTCATTAAGAATTTTCATACGGTCATGTTCAGTGAACTTGTTCTCTAACAAGCACCCACATAAATGTACTTACGTCTTACGCTAATGTTGATGGAATGCAACATTCTTGTCCAACAAGCATACAAACTATATGCAAGTCTTTTATGGATTATTCGATATCCCATCTCGAAACATCCATCGACTTGGAACTGTATTTAAGATCACGGCTTTCAAGGTATGTTCCATGATCACCATCTCTATGCGTAACCATACCTTATAACCATAAGTGATCTAGGGATTTTATTTTAAGTGCAATTATAAGATAAATGCTTTCTCTTAAGATAAAGAAATGCCTTATTAATAATATAATTCCAATAGATTGTATTTACAAGTAGAATACGTCCAATTAGATTGGAACGCCGGGTACCCTACCAATGATGAAGGATCGTGTGTTACGTCTAGCTCAATTCGCTCGAAACCCGCACCGACGCCTTGGTCCCTTTGCGATAGGTTGATAATACGCGCACCGATGCCTTCGTACTTCGCGATAGGTGTGACGAAACTCGGATGTTGGTCCTATTCCTATCACTGTGACGAAACTCAGATGTTGATCCTATTCCTATCACGAACTCTATGTAAACTCACGAGAGAAAACACACGAGAACTTTGAACATACGTTCGACTTTTCTATTAACTCATCAATCATATTTTCAAATGGTACATAGGTGGGTACTTATAGATACCAAAGAGATCTAATCCTGGTCTAAATAGAACTCCTAAATTATGCAAGTAAATAAATCCTAAGGCAACTAAACATCTTGAAAATAAAGACTTTCCTAACTAATAAAATACTAATAGGATACTAATAGGCACATGCCTTTTATTTGAGCTCCTAACCAAACTAAGAAATCCTAAATAAGCTATGAGAATCTCGTCCCAAATCCCTTTGCTGGCCCGCCAAGTCGTCGCGCGAAAACCTTAGCCGCTTTCTGTGTCGCGCGCCGCCTGGGAGGCCTATTCCTCGTCGCGCGCGGTAATGCGCGTGCGCCCTGCCCACGCGTCATTCATTGCCTGCGTTGCTCGTTCGCGTGCCGCGTCTCGTGCATCCCCGTCCCTTGCGCGGGTGTCGCGCATGCTTGACCCCTCAGCATCATCCTCTCGCTCACTCGACACTTGGCGCGTCGTGCCCTGCCTATCCGCACGCGTACCGCTCACGCCCGCTGGCCCAACCCTTGGCCCGCGCTCATCCAGCGCCTCGCGCGTGTCTCCAACCGTCGCGGCCGCCCGATCACCACTCATGCGTCTGCCTCATCGCAGTCGCCCCAAGTGCACGCTGTCCACCCTACACCCACCCCTCGTGCACCTTCTGCCTTAGCTTGCATACGCTGTGCACGACGCTCTCTCGCGCACGCCTTGCACCAGTCACCCACCTTCCCGGGCACTACCTTTTCACTCTCGTCGCGCGTACTTCCCGTCGTACACTTCTTCTTCACCCGGCCTAGGCTCGCACGCCTCATGGCTCGGTTGTCGCGTCCCATCAGTACGTGCGCCTTAGTGCGCGTGCACACCCTTCTAGTACGTTCTCGAGCCCTTTCTCGCCTAACCTCTCGCCATCTCTCGAGGCTGTTGTGGTTCTTGTCCTATGGTTCACCAGGGTCGATTACCACATCTTCATCAGACCCTAGGCACGCGGGCGTGTTGTTGGGCACGTCCCGAGGCCAACTGGACCTAAGGAACACGACTCGGGTTCACTGGGCAGGGCACTGGACACTCGGGCATGCGGCTGGCACGACCCGAGGTCTACTCCGCACGGCACGAGCGACTGACTCGAGACCACGCGTGCACTGACGCTGGGACAACGCTGTCGGGCGTTGTCGGAGGCTGTTGGGCGCGACTGGCGTCGAGACCTCGCACACTGGCTCGGACAGGCGCTGCTGGGCACTGTCGCGTGCGACTGGGGTTGCGGTGCCTCGCGTGCGCTAACACTGGGGTGCAGGCACGGCACGCGCTGCATGCGCGGCTGGTGACCCTAACCGGTCCTCGCCGGACTCCTGGCCACTTATCTGGTGACAACTGAACTAAACCAACATAATATGATATAAAACATGTAAATATGCCAAGAAATGCTAGGGCAACTCGGTTGGGTTTTGACTTGGTTCGGTGGGGCCGATATGACACCCTTGAACCCTAGGTCACCGAACGAACATGCTCAACTTAAAAATATACTTATGGCCGAATAATCTACATAAAAAATCATGACTATAAGTGCTAGAACATTGGTTATATCTCACATGCATATCAACTTGGTTCGGAGGTGAAAAATAGCTCGATTTCACTAACAACTTGACCGAAAAAATGAACTCAAAGCATGTCAATCTTTTACCAATGTCATTCTCATGATTTTTGAGGAATAATAAGCTACTAAATTCGGCCTAACCATGCATGTACTTAAAAATCCGAAATTAGGGCTCATAACTTCGAAAAATTATAACTCCATATTATGAACGTGCATGGCATCATTTTTATACATGATAATTCCTAATTTATCATTTTTAAGCTAGGAAAAATGGTAGGTATGAGATTACCTTGCTCAAACTCGAAATGGTGCTTATGGCCTTAGCTCGGGCTAGCTCGCGGCTTTGGGTCCTTAGGATCGACTTGGGGCGGAAATTTGCTGAGCTAGATATACTCCAAAGACTTAGAAAAATCTAAGAATCACTTAGAAATTGCTAAGCCTCGAGAGATATAGCTTGGATAAGGCCGGACCTCGCGAACTCCTCCACCCGGGGTCACACGCGCGCGCGGCAAGGGTCTGGACTTAGTCTCGGTTTTTCTGATTTTCTCCAAGTATTGCTCGAGCTTTTTAGTAGCAAAAGCCTTCAAAATGGCTGAGGAATAGGTCTTATATAGGCTGAGGGGCGGAACATACAAGGCTGGTCAAAGGGGAGACAAATCTCCTTCCACACGCGCATGGGGACTAGGCGCCGCCTTGTGGGGATTTGGAGGGTCTGCAGCTGACTTTGCACGAGTAAACAGGGAATCTTGCAGAGCATCTGGACAGGGAATATGGTCTGGTAGTGGCTGTACTAAAGGACAAGGCTCCAAGCATTAAAAAAATACACATGAACATGACCGAATGACTCGGTTCCAGACACGGCTTGACTTGGACGATTTATCGAAACGTACTTGGTTTCAATTTTTCGTCAAATGGAATAATTAATCCCGACTGAATAAAATCCATTTCTAAAAATAAATGGACCGGAGTTAATAACTGGAATTTAATAGCTGAATAACTGGGCTCGAAACTCAAGACGAGCAATATTAATAAAAGGAAAAATAGTTCAAACTTGAAACTAAAACTGCCACTTTTATTGATACAGAATTTGGACTATTACAAAATTCATCCACACCATAAACATGATTGAAAATAAATACACGAAATTAACTACATGTTTCAGGCAGAGCCGATAATCCACGAAACCGCAGCTCTGATACCAATTGCTGGAACACGCCGACGAGGCGGTCCGTCCCACAGATCGATATCGGATTCCAAACATGTACATACATGATTTCGAATAACTCTAGGCATGCTCCTAAAGGACGAACAGAGAATTTACCTTTCTTCGAGACTTTGATTCGATCTGAGCGATCTTCTAGTCTGTGTCCTGACCAAGTTTGGACCCCGGATGGACAACGATCTACCAAACGGTTGAAAAGAGTGGATTGGTTTCGTTCTTCTCTGAACCCCTCACGTTTTCTCTCACGTTGTTGTGGTGGCTGAAGATGTGATGTATTCTCTTAGGGTTCGAGAACGTGTGCAATCGCTCCTTTTATAGAGGTCCTTGGGCCAGACTAGGGATCTCTTAGAAGAGATAGGGTTTGGGCTTCCTGCGGTCCCAAATTCTTATGTTCAGCCCATAACACAATTTGTCCCGTATATATTAATTCATTCCACTAGAGAATTAATATTGCACTCCCGTCCTTTCCCGAAATGAATCAGGGCTTCTATTAGACTCGATATAATTTCCCGTGTTTAAGATATCGCACGTCCATTAATTATTAAAGCTTCTGCTTGCTTTAATTAATTAATATCTTTTATTCCTTAAGTAGTACCACTCAACCTTATTATCGTATGGATTAAATCCACCTGCAGGGTTTGATACGATAATCCTTATGAGTTCCTTAAGGGGACGTCATCAACCTGGATGTCCAGGACACAGTTCCCTAATGCCAATAAATAGATATCATGCAGACAATGTTGTTACCAAGATACGGAGCATATTGAACCAATACTTGGTTCTCACCCATGGTAAATCAAAGTAACAAACGAATATCCCACATATCTAAGTATCACAATTAGAGTTAAGAATTAGTAGAGTTTCATGACAGTCAGAACAGAAGAACACGTCTCAACTGGGATCCTTTCAATGCGACGCAGAGCGCTAGTATAAACCTATAGCCAAGATAAGCTAAATCCAGTTTATACTACAACTTAAACCGATAGTCATGTCCATAACTATCTCAGTTGTGAATACCATTTATATCTTATAATGGACCGACAATGTAATCTTCTGTGTGACTACTAACACACCACATTGTCTACAATATAAGATAATTAGACATTTAGCATACAAGCAATCATAAAGAAAGCAACAATGTGAAAACATTTATTTCAGTCAAATGGGAAATCGAATAAATACAATCTAAAAGCTCACATAAAAGTCTGCTTTACAGTATACTCCAACAATTCCATCATGTCGTTAAGAGAATTTTGGATGTCAAGAAAACTATGAAACATGATTATGGTTGCTCCTTTAAACAAATATGTCACACCTTGTTCCACTTTATGCATTATTTAGTAAGTAAACTGATAAAAAAAACATCCACCACAAACAAAGAACATTAAAAATCTGTAACCAAAGCCCATTTACGAAAATCAAATTACCAAACGTTAGCCACTAAAATATTATAAGAGTCCAACATAACTTTGTTTCTCTTCGTCTAACCTCTGTTTCAAGCTTTTCAACTTTCTCCTGCAACGCCTCCCGATCACGCCTCTCCAGAGCCGCCACATCCAACAACCCAACCTCCCGAAACCTTCTCCAATCCTCCATATTTGGCGGCGGCGGTGGAGGGACGTCGATTAGGGTTACCATCTTATCTTTGCCAGTAATGTATAAAAGAAACCCTAATGTCAAATAAGTGCACACTGAGGGTCAGAAGGGAAACGACTTTTTACGGTTCATAAAGTTGAAGGGTATGTGAAGTTTGTCGGAGAAAGATGAAAGATGAACGGAATATCGGGATACCTAGAAACGATGTGTTGGGAGAAAAAAACACAGCGTTTTAGATCTCGTTCTCGCGTTTCCGAAATGGTATTATGGGCTGAAAACGGACACCCGTAGTAAAAGTTATTGTAACGCCCCACTATTATTTACCGAAAATCAGAATAAATTTTTCAAAATTTATTTCAAAATACTCATTTAAGGCGCTACTCATTTTCGAACATCAATACTTATCCAACTTTCCAATATTCAATCAATTATCAAACTCAATCATCATTCAATAATACTAACTCCCAAACGGGTTTTCCAAAAATCCATAAATCACCCAAACCGGGTTCCAACATTATTCAAGTCATAAAATCCGAAAATACTCTAAGTTCATAGTCATATAATCAAGAATTCATTAATGCGGAAGCATAACATATAACATGACCGGTCTTATAGACCGACCACCACTCGCTCTACTCCGCCATCGTTCCTGCCTCCCTTAACCTGAAACGTGAATTTCAGGTGGGGATGAGCACAGTTGGAAAAAGTAGTGCTCACCACTATGCAATAAACATTTTCATAACATATCAGAAATTATGATCACAGCATGTATAAGAATCAATCAAGTATTCCCAAAACTTTCATCATATATTCACAGTGTTCATACTCATGTGCACATCTATATCAATAGACTACTGCCGATAGACGCATCGAATGCCCCACGGGCTTCTATCGAACGCCCCATGGGCTTCTATCGATGCCCAGTCAGTAGGAGTAACCCCTCGGGTTTTCATTTCATAAATACGGGACAACCGTTCGACGGCCGGTACAGCTCACATCGAAGGCTACATGATTCGTAATCATACATTGATCATCACAAGTAAGGTAAACAATTTATTGCATAGACAATTTTAGAATAACAACCCACCTGGATATAGCAAGAGGTATAGCCAAACACAGAGTTCAAGGAATTATGGCACAAGTTCAGCTCGACGAACCTACAACAATTATAATAGCCTATCACTGACTATCCAATATACAATACCACACAAGGCACATATACTTAGTCGAAATCATATCGACTAAGCGACTCTTGGATTCCTTGACCGAGTTAAGTACTTTGGAGTGACTACTAGACCTGGAAAAAACTCATATACCTCAAATATTTCACATAAAACATGCCAACATTAAATAAATCCTATCCGAACCTAACCAACCGATAACCGAACATTAAGACTTCAAAATAAACAAAATTCAGAATCAGGAGTTAGGCTCAGCCATTCAACCTGAAACTTTACCACATTATAAGGCATATAAAAACACATAAACTCACCAAGTTTCAACCCTAAATTCATCCGGGAACATTGTTAAATGATTTAAGCAAAAAAAAAAAAACACCTAAACCAGCATTTAATAGTTCGCATAGCTATACTTCAAGTTTCAGTCTGAAATTTTTACACAACCTAAAACATCATAAAATAACAGGTTCCTGACAGTTTCAGCTCAAAACTCTAAGTGTACGATATTTAGTGAATTTTACAAGTTTCTGACCAGAACCCGTTTTAAGCATTTGAACTCGAAAAATTCAAAAATAAATTCATGGGTTTGGCACACACATTGTACATACTTAGAGGCATAACATATCAAAAATTCAGCTCAAACGGAAAACAACTCAATTTATGGTGAATTTATTACGATACAGCAGCATGCTCGGTTTAGAAAAATCGTAACTCCCTACATCAACTCGAAACGACCTCAAACCAAAACTAACAGATAAAGGATAACTCCAAGTACCTATAACTCCAGGATTTCCACAAAATGAACCACATATATTCAGTTCGACAATTTTTCAAAGTGACGGCAATCACTTTGATATCCAATTCGCAAATATATAACACAAGTTTCACAATTCTCATTCAATAGCAACACATCATCATATACTAGCACATATGATTCGAGATATCACGTCAAACGAACACATTCACATAATCGAGCACATAATATCACGCAAAAATACACGAGTCGGGTCAAGCCTTGTACCGTTCTCCGGAATCGAACGAAAACGGAATGAAAGACGAGAGGTGACGGGCTCGGACCTCGGACATCAACTAGGTCCCACGAACAGTAAAAATGCAGCCACCGGCTGGCGGCGATAGAGCTCGTGGACAGCAGCGTCAACAGCTCGACGGAAGTTGCTGGTAGTGGCTCACGACCGCAAGGTTTCGACGATGGGGGCAGGCTCGCCGTCGATGGCGAAGGAGCAGCCGTCGGGGTCAATTGCTGCACGGAGGGGAGTTCGCCGGGGTCGAAGTCGCCGGAAGTGGTTGCTGCGTTCGGAGACTTTCGGTAGTGGGCCGCTGAATTTCGCCAGAGGAACTCGCAGCGAACAGGAGAGGGGCAGCGAGGGTCGCGGTGGCGACTGGTGCTCGACGAGATGAAGGTCGCCGGAGGTGCAGGGCTCTCGACGTGATGATGGCGACGAAACTGGCGATGATAATGACGAACAGATTTGGAGAAGACAATGGTGCTGATCAGAGATGGTGAACTCGATGATGAGAGGATGGTGACGACGGAGATGAGTGAAGGATGAAGGTGACGGGAAGATTAGCGGGAGAAATCTCTCTGCTCTGCTTCGCTCAAGAGATCACTATCGATTGGAAGAAAAATAAGGCTGCGGCTTGAAAGGTTTTCTGATTTTAGCGTGAAGGGGAAAAAGATAGAGATATATATACTTATACATATAGATAATAGGTTTAATGTCTTGCCCAATAAGACACACCCACACTCACGGGCCGAATTGATCGGGCTCGGGCTCGGGCCGGATTATCGGGTTTGGTTCAATGAAACGTATCGGCTCTCGGGCCCGACTACGTAGAAATAATACAGTTTTCTCGGGCTCGATAAACTGAATCGCACAAATAAATAAACAAACCAAATGTATAATATATATTGATAATACACACAAATTTAATTTTTTTAAAATAATAATAATTAGTAAAAATACAAATACACATTTTAATAAATTAATAACACTTAGACAATTAGGCAATTAATTAATATTTAGACCGTTAAAAAATTTGACACATAAATCACATACAACAATTAGTAATTTATAGCATTAAACAAATAATAATAATAACAATTAAATAATAATAATAATAATAATAATAATAATAATAATAATAATAATTAATCCTCAAAATTCTATAATTCAAATGAGGTATTACAATCTATCCTCCTTAAAATATTTCCGTCCTCGGAAATACGAAAGAACGCTCATCTCAGACAACGACAGACTCAAAAGGGAATTTCCAATCACGAGGTTCGGGCATCACTCTCCGGAACTCGATTCCGTTCCCATGAGTCCTATCGCCTTATACTCGAAAGAAACCAATCCGACTCGCCCATGCTCATATGTTTACCTTCTTGCTTGGGAGGGTGATCAGTCTTGCTCGAGCTCAGGCGCACATCTTCTCGCAAGGGACCTAGTTCGGTTTAGCCTATACTCATGAGTATCAACGACTTGATTCGTACCTAACAGCACACAAGACCTCAACAGGTCGTTCGGTGTATTGTCAGCGTACTGCGACTATCTCACCATCAAGGTGGACGCGTGACGCCAAGTTTCAGTCTCGCATCCGAGTCACGCTGATAACTTGCTAACGATTCCTACACAGACCGTGCGTCTCAAACCGAGACCACAACACGGTACCACAATATAAAACATGACTCTATCAAGCTCACATTCTCATGATATCGACTCCAAGAGTCGATCGCAACCCTTATGCACAAACATAAGGCTTTACCCAAAACAACATGACATTCCCAATTTGCCGACTCGAGAAACTCCCAAGTGAAGCATAGGGACTCATCGACTACTATCCTTAATCCGAAATCATCGATTAAGGATTAACACACATTTAGTGGGACTTGGAGCTCTCGGTTCAAGGTTCAAACAAAAGGGGTTCAAATGGATAGCCAATTATTCCAGCATGAAACGGTTCAACAGTTCAGTGAGAACATCGATGGTTGGTCGCATACGCTGGCTTGGGGTGTTCGTGCGTACGGTGATGGCGGCTGCAATTAGCATGCGAGTCAACGGTCGGCTGCGCGCAAGCCTCCCGTCTCTCAGCACGGTCGTGCGTGCTCAGCCACCACTTCGCGGGGCTACACCCAGCCAGGGTTGGGGTTTGGTCTGGGTTTCCACAAGAAATTACAATTCAAGGCTACCAAAAAGGAATGGTCTTACCAAATTTCAAAAATTTTTGGGGTCGACAAAACAATATATATTTCAGGCATCTCTCAATTTCAAAAGTTTCAAAAAGTTTCAAAAATAGCAAGGAGCAAGTTCGAGTTCCAAGTCTACCAACTTTCTAAATAACAAAACGCAAAATGCCACAAATCTAATAATATGCGAAATCTCAAAGAACCCTCATGACGATTCTCCCTAAGTCAGCTAGATGGATAGCTCGCCTCGGCTCTTCCGTCTATCAGCGTCGGCCGGTACGTCAGCTCTTCGTCGGGTAGCTAATCGTGTCAGCAGTCTTAAATGAGCGCAACTCACTTCCCAATCTTCACACTTTGGAATTTGAATGCGAAGTTCCTCCCGAGATTCCGAAAGGAGGAAAAGAACAAAAATTTCACGATGAACAAGATTCAGAATAAGGACGGGTCTGCACTATGCGATGTTCTTGCTCCAGACTCGACTATCCTCCTTAAAAGATTTCTGCATAATCTTTTAAGGTGGAAAAACACTCCATCCTCTTATCGAACCGAATTCTGCTGGCTCAGCTCCTGCGCGTTTATCTCGATGCCGAGTGTGAATAATTATCGTCGCCCTCGAGGATAGGTTATTCACAAAAGTGGCAATAGAAAATTTTTCC